TTATACCGCACAAGAATTTGTTTAAAAATTGAAATGCAAATTACTAAACGCTGTGTTATGACGTCAGTGCGTATATACCACCTGGAGAAGATTTACAAAAGATGTAAAATATGTTTATTATTTCGTTTTTGTGGAGACCGCAATGAGGATTCATGATCAGACATACAGTACGTGTGTTTCTAGATACACCTTGTACGCCACACTTGTTTGGTTTCCCGCGTTTTGCTAGCGCTTGAGGCAGGTTAGTCTTAGATCGGTTTAATGTCAATTAATTAAGGCATTATGAGTTACTGGCGAGTCTTACTAAAAGTGACTTTTACTAGTTATTTGGCGCATATCATTTCCAACATACAAAGCTCCTTAGTGTAGTGTTTTAAGTCTCAGTTTAGTGAAATCTGGACTCCGTGCTGTGCACCTTGAGGACTCTTTGTTTTAAAGCAGCTACGTCACGGTTTAAAAGTTGTAAATAGCAATAACGCAGTGCCAAATCAAAAACGATGTTTATGGCAGACGTTTCGGGCCTAGCCCTTCCTCAGTGCTAACTTAGCACGGAGGAAGGGCTAGGCCCGAAACGTCTGCCATAAACATCGTTTTTGATTCGGCACTGCGTTATTACTATTTACAACTTTTGAACTGTTTACTGTGCCATGCGGTAACTGATCCTTTTGGATTACAAATATTTACGTCACGATTTGCGCATCTTGAAAATTTTAGCCCAAATTTTTCGGTCGGTTGGTCCTTTGCAATCCGTGTTAATCTTCCCCATCCTTTACCATCTTTGTTCCTTTATGGTTTTTTACTATCTCTTTGGTGTTTTTTTATCTTAGTTAATTACTCTTTTCAGGTTACTTCGATTTAAACGTAATTTTGTCCGTAACTGAAATAACTCAAAATGTCGTGACTGAGTTCCTTTAAGCTTCTAGTGTTCGCAGCTGAAACCGGACGAATCGTTGCACCATTTTGGAAACAAAATAAGACGGTACAAGCTTCAATATTGTTCTGGCCATTTTCCAGGCTTAAAAAGTATATGCATATTCAAACATCGGATTCTTTCTTGCTCGTCTTTTATCAGTTAAAATTCCATCTCCCAATGGAGCCTTCTGGTCAGACAAAATGCCAAATTATGATCATTTTCCCAACTTCTTTTAGTTTCGTATTGCCGGTTTAAGCCCACTATTTACTGGATGTGAAGCATAACAACTATTTCGCTTCGCTTTTATCTTTTTTTGATGAAATCAATGTCACTTTTTTTCGCTTTCGTTTGGTGTTTTTGTTTTTTGTTTTTTTTTGTTTTTGGTTGGCAATATTGCTCAATTAGAATGAGTGTTCTGGGTCACAATACAATGGACCCACCAGCAACTGTTTTATCGAAAAAAAAAGAGTCGTCGTTATTTTTATATTAAAATGACTTGCGTGCATCGAAATATTAATTTTTTAATAATTTCAACTGGCGGGGAGCTGGCAAGAGTCAGTTTGCGTTTAAGCTCAAGCAAGGAGTTGAACTTGAAAATGCTGCGATGAACCGCCAAAGCAGTGGACTTCCGANCGTTATTACTATTTACAACTTTTGAACTGTTTACTGTGCCATGCGGTAACTGATCCTTTTGGATTACAAATATTTACGTCACGATTTGCGCATCTTGAAAATTTTAGCCCAAATTTTTCGGTCGGTTGGTCCTTTGCAATCCGTGTTAATCTTCCCCATCCTTTACCATCTTTGTTCCTTTATGGTTTTTTACTATCTCTTTGGTGTTTTTTTATCTTAGTTAATTACTCTTTTCAGGTTACTTCGATTTAAACGTAATTTTGTACGTAACCAAAATAACTCAAAATGTCGTGACTGAGTTCCTTTAAGCTTCTAGTGTTCGCAGCTGAAACCGGAGGAATCGTTGCACCATTTTGGAAACAAAATAACACGGTACAAGCTTCAATATTGTTCTGGCCATATTCCAGGCTTAAAAAGTATATGCGTATTCAAACATCGGATTCTTTCTTGCTCGTCTCTTATCAGTTAAAATTCCATCTCCCAATGGAGCCTTCTGGTCAGACAAAATGCCAAATTATGACCATTTTCCCAACTTCTTTAATTAGTTTCGTATTGCCGGTTTAAGCTTACTATTTACTGGATGTGAAGCATAACAACAATTTCGCTTCGCTTTTATCTTTTTTCGATGAAATCAATGTCACTTTTTTTCGCTTTCGTTTGGTGTTTTTGTTTTTTGTTTTGGTTGGTAATATTGCTCAATTAGGATGACTGTTCCGGGTCACAATACAATGGACCCACCAGCAACTGTTTTATCGAAAAAAAAAAAAAAGAGTCGTCGTTATTTTTATATTAAAATGACTTTCGTGCATCGAAACATTAATTTTTTAATAATTTCAACTGGCGGGGAGCTGGCAAGAGTCAGTTTGCGTTTAAGCTCAAGCAAGGAGTTGAACTTGAAAATGCTGCGATGAACCGCCAAAGCAGTGGACTTCCGAGAATTCTCGTTCTCTTTGCTGTAGACTGCTTACTTCCATCTCTTATCTATTTCTTTATTATGTGAAAAATCTCCATCGCCCATCCTTTTCTCGTCCCATCTCTCGACCTTTTTCAATTAAAGCCTCCTTCTTTTTATCTAACGCAATTTTCTTTACGGGGCGAACACTTGCACTAATATTTTTTGTAGCCAATAGAATTATTTTAATTTTTACAATTTTATCTTATACATAACCTAACATAGGATCTCTCACGCTCATTAAGTTTTTATCATTTTCATGTAAATATTCAAATTTTATAAGTACCGTATGTTAATTAACGTTGCGATTTTACTAGTGTACCCAATCAGTCTATCTAGGCTAAACACATAGACACTTAATAAAGGTTTACTTGTTTATTATACTCCACCCAGCATGCACCTGCCACCAGGAAGTGTCTTATGAATGGTTAGGGACAACACGAGCTAACGTAATGATCCCGAAATCATTCTGCCTGAATATATGTCTGGATTTATGAAAATCGTGTACATTTCAACACAACGATCCTGTCACTTTCCCAGAAAATACACAGGCTTTTTCAATCAACCAATCAAAGGCCGTCTGCCACTACACAGCGTACTCACTCANAGCGGTACCGTATGTCAGTTAGTGTTGCGATTTTACTAGTGTCCCCAAATAGTCTATCTAGGCTAAACACATAGACACTTAATAAAGGTTTACTTGCTTATTATACTCCACCCAGCATGCACCTGCTACCAGGAAGTGTCCTATGAATGGTTAGGGGCAACACGAGCTAACATAATGATCCCGAAATCATTCTGCCTGAATATATGTCTGGATTTATGAAAACCGTGTACATTTCAACACAATGATCCTGTCACTTTTCCAGAAAATACACAGGCTTTTTCAATCAACCAATCAAAGGTCGTCTGCCACTACACAGCGTACTCACTCACCTTCCTCGAGTGTGGCTGGCTGGCTGCCGGTTCCTAAGGAATAAACTCGGCTATACGCGGAGCTCGAGAGCCATAAGCTCCGTCAAATTAATGCAAGAAACATAGGAATGTCTCGAGACAAACGTATAGCTTTCTCGAGGTAAAGCTACGACTTCTCCGAAGAACTCCAACCGGACGAGGACAAATATGATATCCGTGATAAGAAGCAACAACATACATACTGTACTTGCAAACAGTGCCAATCGTCGTACCTTTTAGACGAAAAAAAGGGGTTTTGTAACATGTACCTTTATGGGTGTTCAGCCTCAAAAGGTCCACAGCGAGAGCTTTGCGGTACGTTTTAGGGTATTGAGCGGAAAAACATATGACAGGAGAAATTGTATTGTATCAGAATTGGTACCTCTTAGAGATGAAAAAATTTCAAGCCACACCTACAAAACAGNCCCCCCACTCCCTGGAGCGTAAATTGCGTGGTGATCAACGATTGAAGTTCATTAAGAGAAGCTTTTTTTGCTGTCAATCGCTCTATTTCCTTTTTTAAATCTAAAGTGCTAATTGTACAGTTTAAATCATCTCCTAGCACGAGATAGATTGTCGTTCACGCACGGACTTAGAAATTCTTTTGAAAGGTCTCTGAAACATATAACTTGTTGAGTTGCATCGTTTGGCGCATAAATGTTTGCCAAAACTGTTTTAGTGCCATCAATAGAAAATGACTTCATCAGTAGTTTCGGATAAAATTCATCTGCCATAATTATCGGAAGTAATGTTTTCGAAATTAATGTCAACTGACTGACGTGATTTGAACGAAATCTTAACTCTTCTACTGTGAGTAGGGCCGTAGCTGGACCGCAAGAAAATTATATCCGATTGCTGCTTGACTTGAAAAGCTTGTCTTAAATAGAGTAAGGGTTTTGGGAAGCGGACATAAAGCAGACTAGAGTTTAGAGCTTATTCTAACTTTTAGGAAATTATACATAGTGTTCAGTCCTTCGCCACGGAAAATGGCATCGTCCATGATGAGTCTTTCGACGTTGAACTGGATGCAGTCCTCAGTCTTGCGCTTGGCCGCCTTTAGTACCGGCTTTATTTTTTTCTATTATGTCGTCGGCGTCTTTAGGAAAATAGTCGGATATTCCAAATCCGGTATCTCTTGGGAGATTTTTGATTAAGGATTTGATAAAAGCATTATCTTGAAAGGTCGTCAACCTAGCCATAATCCGTCGCGGTGGAAGACTTCGGCCATTTGATTGTGCTCGGCGCCTTTGCTGAGGCCGAGGAGCGACTAGCCTGGATAGCAAGCGTTTCCGTGGGGCTCGGGAGCAAAGAAAGACCGAGGAACGGGATTTTCAGTGTTTTGCCCAAGCGAAAACTGGGGCGAGAGCCACAAAAAGAAAGAGAGTTTTTTTTTCACGAGGCAAGTCTTTGCTCCCGAACACCACGGAAACGCTTGCCATGCAGGCTAA